CAAGGGTGATTAGAGGTCGCCCCAAAAGCCTCTATCCCTCTCGGAAAGACTGGCAAGCTACCGAGAGTATTCCGCCTGCACGGAAGAGCCTGGCAAGCTATCCATTGTGTATTCGATATGCCAAAACCAGTAACTACAACTGGTCTCATTCACCTGACCCTGAAGACTTCACTGACATGGCAGCACTGAGAAGGATGAGAAAGGAGAGGCCGACAAAATCTCAAGGCCGACCTAGGCTGCCACAACGAAGGAAGACAAAAATGATCGTCTGTACTTTCAATGCACGTACGCTAGCATCAGATGCATCCATCGAGGACCTGATGGTACAAGCGCGAATGATCAAGTACGACATCATTGGTCTGACCGAGAGAAGAAGGCACGAATCTCACCATGCCGTTTTCGACACTGGAGAAGAATTGTTCCTCGGAACATGTGATAAAAGAGGTGTTGGAGGCGTCCGTGTCCTTGTCAACACAAACTTGGCCAAGAGCATTGATTCATTCGAATGCCTAACAACCCGAATCGGACGTTTACATTTGAATAGATGTGGCTCACTGCCTGCAGTTTCTATCTTCGTTGTCTACGCACCAACATCTCATTATGATGAAAGAGAAATCGAGAAGTTCTACATGGAGCTAGAGAAGGTCTATAAAGAAGACCACACCTTCTACAAGATCATTGTGGGCGATTTTAATGCCAAGATAGGACCGAGAAGATCAGCTGAAGAACTTCACATCGGGACCCATGGCCTAGAATGGAACGAACAGGGTGAGAGACTGTCTGAGTTCATCATGTCGACCAAGACCATTCATGGTAACTCACAGTTCCAGAAGGCAGAATCTAAACGATGGACATGGGAGTCTCCTGGTGGACGATTCCACAACGAAATAGACCACATCATATTCAATCGATGGTTTTGCCTGACTGATGTCGCTGTTGTCCCAAAATTTCGAACGGGATCAGACCACCGTCTCCTTCGTGCAAAATTCTACTTCACAGAGCGGGGAGAAAGGGCTGCAAAGTTCAAAAAGAGAACTCCCAGAATGACCACCAACTGGGAACTCTTTGGTACTATTGCGGCAACATGGGAAGATGCCATTGTTGACAACATTGATGAGGAATACGATCGACTGGTTCAGCACCTCCATGATTGTGCGAGGAACGCCAAGAGAGAGATAGCCACAAAAAATCGCCTATCTTCGAAAACTCTTGAGCTAATTCGCCAGCGTGGTTTGGCGCATGCCTCAGGCAACCGCAAGCTAACGTCCGAGCTCGCAAAACAGTGCAGAGATGCGATCAAGGAAGACCTCAAAGAGAGAAGAGCAGAAGTACTGGTAGATGCGGCAGAAGCCGGGAAAAGTATTCATAAGGCCCGCCTGTCCTTCGTCAACTATAAGAGCAAGATGACTGCCCTCCGACGTCCTGATGGATCCATCACATCCTCCAGAACGGCAATGGAGAAGATTATCCATGACTTCTACTCAAATCTCTTCGATAGCCATGTCCACTTGCCAACATACCAAATTCCACAGGATGGATATGTCGTTCCCAAAGTTCTCCCTTCCGAAATCCGACACGCCATTTCGTCGGTAAAGAAACAAACAGCACCCGGCCCAGACAAGGTCAGACCTGAACACCTGAAGAACCTGCCGTCAGTGCTCATCAATACACTGGCTCAGCTCTTCACTCGCTACCTGTCTGAATGCAAGGTTCCGTCCCAATGGAAAACCAGCAGGACCGTACTACTGTTCAAGAAGGGAGACATCCATGATATTGGCAACTATCGCTCGATCTGCCTATTGTCTGTCATCTACAAGTTGTTCACTCGAGTCATCCTGAATAGGATTGGCAGAACACTAGATGAAGGACAACCATGTGAGCAAGCCGGGTGTTTTGGGTACCATAAGTCGTGCTGAGGATTGAACTGGGATAAAAGCATGCAAGGAAAGTGCCTTAAACCCTATACTATCTTTTCATCCCCTATTTAAATTTTTAATAAAAGTATGAATTATTTTAGAGTATTTTTCCCCTTTATTTTATTTTATTTTATTTTATTTTTTTACAGTTGTAGATTTACAATTTTTTGTGCTTTGGTTTCAATTATACAATGATCAGATACCCATCCCTCCACCAGTGCCCATTTTCCACCACCATGGATAATATCCCTCCCACCCCCATCCCCCCATCCCCCCTGTCTCTGTGGCAGGGCAATCCCCTGTGTTCTCTCTCTCCTTTTGGGTGTTGTGGTCTGCAAAAGAGGCATTGAGTGGCAAACATGTTCAGTCCATAGTCTACTTTCAACATGCATCTCCCCTCCTGGGAGGATCCTCCAAACATCCTTTATTTGGTGCTCCCTTCTCTATCTGAACTGCCCTTTCCTCTAGGATACCCGGCTGGCCTCTAAGTTATGGAGTCTCCCTATTTTTTTTTAATAATTTATTTCTTTATTGAATCACTGTGGGAAAAGTTACAGAGCTTTCGGGTTTAGGTCTCAGTCATGTAAGTATCAAACACATTTCCCTTTACCAATACTTATTTTTAACCGCGAACCCCAATAGAACCCCACCTCCCACCCCTCCCAATTCCTGTGAGGCAGATGAGTTCTAGTTAATACTCTATCTACTTTGACTAGATACATTGTTTCGATAGAAGATGCACAATTATTGTTTAGAGTTTACAACCCCCCCCCCAATCAGATATGCTGAAACAGCGTTGTGAAATGATTTGCTTTCTACAGCTGGGTTTAAGAATAAAATGATGTCGTGCGGCCTCAATAGCGGCCGCGCGGTTTTGGATTTCTGCTGTTTTACTTATTAACCCTGGAAGTATTTCTATTAAAAGTTAGATAGTTAAGAGATTGGTTTCTGTGCTCTGGAGTCGTGGCCGTGCCGGAGAGCCGCTCGTGGGGGGCAGCTAGTGACCTCGGTCGGGCGTGAAGTACGGCCCAGAACGCCCCCCTTCCCATGAGGCCCCTGCCGCCCCCCGCCCCTGGCTCAAACCTGCTTTCCACAAGGCTCCCGTGCGGCCGCCATCTTTCTTTCCAGAGAGGAGCGGGCGGGCCGGTCAACGCCCTTCCCCCTCCGGGCAGCTTGGTGGCGCGGATCAACACAAGTCCATTTGCTTTTCTGCCCCAAGCGGGTGGCTCTCTGTGCTAAGTCCTTGTGCCTCCGGGGCCGTGGCCGTGCCGGAGAGCCGCTCGTGGGGGTAGCTGGTGACCTCGGTTGGGCGTGAAGGACGGCCCAGAACGCCCCCCTTCCCATGAGGCCCCTGCTCATCTCCCTATTTTTGATGTGTTTTTTTTCTTGTTAAGTTTTATCGTACTTTATATATTTTGAAAATTAACTCTGTCAGATGGATGGTGGGCCAATACTGATTTTTTTTATAACAAATTATATTTTGGGTGTTGTGATATGAGACTCTGTATCTTTGAGCCTGTTTTAGGTGGCTTTGACACAGCTCTGAGAGCAGAAATGATGAAGGGAACCAGGGTCTTGTTATTGGCAGATGAAGAGAGATTATCATGCTTCCACCTGACCTCCTGTGAGGGAGACTCCTCGCTGCCACTGAGCATGTGGTGGGAGTTGAGCTTCTCCCGGGGCTGCCCCGTCACTCTGACCAGAGGGGTCGGGCTGTTCCCTTTGTGCTCTCCACGTGACTTCTGCTCACAGCGCCTTGGGAAGATGACTTTCTAATATAGGAGCAGTGAAGCCCCTGACTCGGTTAGAGTCTTACCGGCACGTAGAAGCAGGGAAGGTGTCTAGTTATTAGAGTCGTGGGGGTGGAAGCAAAGCCCCAGTCTGCCTCCAGCATCATGAGGTGTGTAGGGCAGAGCCCTTTGTATAATCCTGCAGGGACGAAGTCCCCACACCACCGCCCCCTTCACTTACCGCTCCGACAGGCCAAAGCGACAGACTCTCGCAGCATGATCGAGTACAAGTCTAGGCTCCCCATTGGCTTTGTGTGAGTGTTGAAATGAATAGTCGCAGCTCTTCTGTGATGTTTTACTATTGTAGAGCAGTCATTTTCTACAAGTTTTTTCTCATTAAGTCGCTTCTTTCTCGATTCTTTGGTTGGAAAGAAAAAGCTTTGATTTCTTTCCATTCCATTTCTTGTTTTTCCTTCTCCCTGTTGCTGTGTCCAAATTGCCAACTTCTTTCTTCCAAGTCTGGAATTCCAGAGAAGTAAAGAAACCCCAGGAACTCACAGTTGTTTGTTCTTTATGTCCCCAGTTCTCCAGGTCTCAGCTGGCCTGCTTCTTTCTACCTTCACCTGCCCTCTTTTGTCAAGTTTAGATGCGCTGCCAGCCCTGTGCGTATGCCAGAGGGAGGAATAGGAAGTGTGTCCAACCCATCTTCCCAGAAGTGAAAGTCTGGAACCGTTTTATTGTTGTTCATTTTACCTTTTGGTCTTTGGGGCACACACTGTTGTGCTCCACATTTACTCCTGGGTTTGCGCTCAGGGATAACTCCTGGTGGTGCTTCCTATTGGGTGCTGGGGATCAACTGCAGGCCAGGCGAGCACCCTGCCCTCTGTACTATCTCTCTGATTCAGAAGGCCTAAGCGTAGATCTTTTTGTCTGGACAGCTTTTCCCAAACTTTCAAAATTCAAATGTAAATATTAAAAAGTTACCTCTTTATTGTTTTTTTTTAATCTAAATAGCATTGGTCTGCAAGGCTGTCCGTGTTTATGTTTTAGGGGTAAAAATTGCCTACTTCAAAGATGCTAAAAATCCCATTATCATAGGTCACTGGGCACCAACCCCCGCCACTCCATCTCTGCTGTCAGAATCTGAGAGTTTATTTTATTGGACATTGCTCATTCCCTTGCTTTGTTTCCTTATATGCCACATATGGGTGAAATTATCGATTATTTATTCCCTTTTTACTTATTTAGGTTATTAGAACCAACCCAGTTCCCAGTATGTGTCCCAGCAAAAGGCAAGATGTCAGGTTTTCTGAGCATTGTATTATAAACTGCTGTATTTCTTTTCTTTTTTCAGGCAAAAGCTTATTATACCAAATGAAAGCTACCCAGTTATTCTGAATACTTACTTCTGTAAGAAATTTGTTGCCAAAGAATATTCAAAAACACAGGAAGTTCACTGTTGGGATATGCCCCTTCCCAGAAGAACCATCACTTTGGCTCGGATGTTTAGAGTTGATTCATCTGAAAACCAGGTAAACTTTCCTTGGCTTAGAGGTTTTATGATTTGTAATAATGCAGGATTTGAAAGAGTTTCATATAAGTAAAAATGTTTATCTTTGGTCTCCTTTCAAAATACAAAGTGAGCCTGTGTGCTAGCATCTCTCATCATTGTTATGAAGTAATGACCTGTTTAGTATTTGGTTATGGCCTTTCTGGATTTCTAATGATATACTTTAGTCTTTATTCCAGTTCATTACAGTGCATGATTGAGGACCTTAGAGATAGTATAACAGGTAGGTCACTTGCCTTGCACGTAGCTGAACTGGGTTCGATTCCTGCCGTCCCATATCATCTCCTAAGCTTGACCAGGAGTAATTCCTAAGTGCTGAGCCAGGAGTGAACCCTAAGCACCAGCGGGTGTGGCCCCAAAAACAAATGAATAAAATGTATAATTTATCTTTGGTCTCTAAGTTTTCTAAGAGTTAAGCCCTCTTATTTAAGAAATCATGTTTTTCTTTTACTTAATATGTATCTTGGGATAAGAAGATCTGCGTAAATTCCAGGTTTTCTTCTTCATTTTTTCGTGTGTCATGAATTATCTGTGAGGACGACTTTAGGAGCCAGTAACTGTGACTCCCAGTGGGCATGAAGGGTCTTGGCACTGCTCAGGCTCTGGTGCCAGTCACAGAGTTCTGTGACTCAGTCACTTGGAGTGGAAAGCCAAGACAGAAGCAATGTAAGCAAGTGTGAGAGACAGAAGAGTGGAGAACTGGAGGACAGAGCAGTGGGTCGGGCATTTGCTTGCATATGTCCTACCTGGGTTTGATCCCGGGCACCACATGTGTTCCCCCACGCACTGCCAGGAGGAAGGAAAGCGGGAGGGCAGGAAGGATGGAGTTTTTCAGTTCAGTAGATGAAAAAACAAGAAGTCTCTCTTTGACTGTTAGAAGACACGTCTAGAGGGGATTGTGTGAAAAGAAAGGCTTTCTAATCAATTTAATTGTAACAGATTTCTTTTGTTTGTTTTTGGGTCACAACCAGCAATGCTCAGGGTTTACTTCTGGCTCTGACTCGGGAATTACTTCTGGTGGTGCTCAGGGGACCATATGGGATGCTGAGGATCAAACCTAGGTTGGCTGCATGCAAGATAAATGCCCTACCTGTTAGATAAAGTAATAAAATCAATATAAATAATATTGAGGAACCCAGGTGTGTGGGACCCGGGGCTGAGATCTCCAAGCCTGCATGATTTGGGACTGTAAATGCCGGTAGCTAGACAGTTACACCCACCAACTGCCATGTCACCCCAACAACGGCCAGGATCCAGAGATTATCACACTCAGCTCCCGGGAGAGAACAAGGCAGAGTCTCCTACCCTGTGCCTGACTGTCCCCACTGGGCCCAACAGCTGAAGACCTCCGGTCCCCAGCCAAGGCCATGCTGGGACCACTCTCCACACACTTGGATGAGCCTCACGCATAAAAGAACTGGCAGAGGAACCCAGGTGTGTGGGACCCGGGGCTGAGATCTCCAAGCCTGCACAGTTTGGGACTGGACCTGCCAGTAGCTAGACAGTTACACCCACCAACTGCCGTGTAACCCCAATAACGGCCAGGATCCAGAGATTATCACACTCAGCTCCCGGAAGCGCGCGGCCGCATTTGCGGCCGCGTGACATCTTATCATCTCATTCCTACTTTGGACAAACTGGCAGGCTACCGAATGTAACCTGCCCACACAGCAGAGTCTGGCAAACTCCCCGTGGTATACCCAATATGCCAAATACCAGTAACAATGATGGGTCTCATTCTCCTAACCCTGAAAGAGCCTTGAATATGGCACTTTTTAAAAAAAATCTCAGGGCTAGGACGAAGGAGACGTTACTGGGGCCTGCTCGAGGCAATCGACAAACAACAGGATGGTCGTGATCATGATTGTGATAAATAATATAGTTTTAAACTAAAAGTACTCAAAGTATAGTGCTTCTTTACTATATGATACTAAATCAATGAAGATATATATGTATTGTATGTATATATTTCATCTCCAATATGACAGTGAAACTGCAGTATAGTATAGTGGCTAAAAGTATGGACTTTGGGGCCAGCGAGTACTGTAGCGGTTAAGGCACTTGCCTTGCCTCAGCTACACTGGTTCAATCCCAGCACCAAATATGGAGTGATTCTTGAGTGCAGATATAAAAGTATTCTCCTGAGCACAGCCGGTGTGGCCCCAAGCTTCTCCCCTTCTCCCCCACTCACAAAAAAAAAAAGAAAAGAAAAAAAATAATGGGCTTTGTGGTATCCTGATTCAAGTCCTTCCCAGTTGGAACCTATCTTATAATCTTGGGCAAGCTATTTAATTCCTTGGTCTTAGTATTCTTATTTGTTAAATGGTATTAATAATACAGTCAACACCATTGACTGATTGTGAGGTTATGATCATTATGTCTTAAGCATGGCATTTGCGGCCGCGCGACATCTTATTATCTAGTTCTTACTCTGGAGAACCTGGCAGGCTACCGAAAGTATCTTGTCCACACGGCAGAGTCTGGCAAACTCCCCGTGGCATATTCAGTATGCCAAAAAACAGTAACAGTGATGGGTCTCATTCTCCTGACCCTGAAAGAGCCTCGAATGTGGCACTTCCAAAAATCTCAGGGCTAGGATGAAGGAGACGTTACTGGTGCCTGCTCAAGGAAATCGATGAACAACAGGAGGACAGTGTTACAGTGATCATTATGTAAGCATAGCGTATAAGGAAAAGAACAAGGAGTATAGGAAGAACTCTAGAAGTATAACCTTTATTTTGAGCATCAGATGCAGTGGTGCATGAGGACCAGTAGTGCCAGGAATCTAACTCCCAACTTCTGTATACTGCACTCAGCTCTTTGCACTGTCTCTCTGGCCCTAGAGGGTCACCTTCTTGTGGTATTGTGAGTTTTACACTATTGTGTAATGTTGTTATGAGGCTGCATGGGCAGCCAAATTAGACTGCACATCACATTAACTCAATATTGTTACTCATTTAATTAAACCTTAGTCGTTTCTTATTTTATGTTTTAGTTTGGCCTCTTTAGGGTGCTACCTCATAAAAAAAAAAAAAGAAATTCTAAACTGCCAGGAGTTGTTTTAATAACAAGACCAGCTACATGAGTTTAAAGCCCCAAGATGGCTTCTACTTCCATTGGTAGAAAATGGTTCGTAGCCTCTCGTCACTTGTTACCCTCTTCTGCAGAGTCCCCCATCTGTAGGTGCAAGTGTTTGCTTTTGCTTTTTTGTACCCATGTAGTTCTGCAGGTACCTATCAGGATTGCCCAAGAATATCGTTCTTGGACAGGAGTGATGTACAGCAGGCAGGACTCCTGTCTTGCATAAAGCTGTCCTTGGCACCACATGTCATCCACCAAGCTCTGCCAGGAGTGAGCCCCAAGCACCTCAAGGTGTGACCCCCACATAAAAAAAGAAACCAACCAAACAAAAGGATATTATTTGAAAGAAAAATAGGAGCCAGAGCCAGAGGTGGTATGAAGAGGGCGCTCCCGTTGGTGTGTGCCTGAGTGCAGCGCTGGGGTGCCCCTGACGCCCTGGGGCTCCTCTGCTGGGCTGTGCTCTCCCGCGGGAGCATGTCCGTAGTCATTGTGAGGTGTGCACAGGTCCATAAGGAGTCAGTCTGAAGCTGTGCTCTTTGCATGTCTTGACAGGCCGAGTGCAGCGATTTCAGTGCTGTGGGGACAGAGGGGACCAACAGCCCCCAGGAGCACCACACAGCAAAGGAGCAGTCCCCAACACCAGCTCCCCTGACGGATTCCCTGCTGGATGCAGTAGAGAACCAAGGGGCTGCGCCCTGGCATCGCGGTGGGGTCCGTGTGGTGGTTCAGAGAGTGTATTGTCTTCCCAGCAAGTGTCAGCAGGCAGGCGGCTCAGCACCTTCGCCCAGCTCAGACTCATCTCTGCTACGGTGAGTGCCACAGTTCAAGCATGTGTGCATAGAGACAATTAGCCAGAGTAGAGTCTCTTTGTGGAGCAATATCGTGGTTCTATTTATTATAAGCATGAGTTGTTTGGATTTCACTGTAACTTTGTTTCTGCTATTTCTGGATTTTGTCTACTGATATAAAATTCCTACTTAAAGGGTTCAATTTTTTGCACTTTTTGGCTGGAGCGATAGCACAGCGGTAGGGCGTTTGCCTTGCACGCAGCCAGCATGGCCAACCCGAGTTCGATTCCTCTGCCCCTCTCGGAGAGCCCAGCAAGCTACTGAGAGTATCTCGCCCGCACAGCAGAGCCTGGCAAGCTCCCCATGACGTGTTCGATATGCCAAACACAGTAACAACAAAGTCTCCAATGGAGATGTTACTGGGCCCTCTCGAGCAAATCGATGATCAACGGGAGGGCCTTTACTTTTACTTTACTTTTGCACTTATTCAGAGTAATATAAATATTGGAAATACTGGTATTCTGGAAAAACCAAGACATTGGTTACTACACCTAAAACAACTGCTATAATATTTAGAAAGTTTTATATGTTTTAAAAAAGAAAGAAAAAACCTGGGTGTATAAATACAGTGAATAGATCCGTGTCCTTCAAGGAAAACTATTTCAATACACACCAGTACGACCTGCTCAGACTTTCTGCAGTGATGTAAATACTGTATATCTGCTTTCTCGAATGATGTCGTCACTGACCGCATGTAGTTGCTGAGTCCTCAGAATATGACTAATGGCACTGGGGAACTAAGATTTCAGTGGAATTGCATTGAACTTCGCTGTCAGTAGTTTCCCGTTGCCATGCTGTGTTGGAGGTGGTGAGGATGAATGACCACATGGGCATCGGCCAAACTCATGATTCAGAGTGCTTTGCTTATACCAACTGAAAATGAGTCAGATTTAGACTATTGATGATTTTGGTTTTTTTTTTTTTCAAATAGCCACAGACACATCATTGAAGCGTCTCATTTATGTCAGAGTGTTGGCATAATCTTCTAAGATTATCTTTCCTTCTATGCCTAATTGCCCTCAAAGCAGTGAGATGAGTTTACATGTGTGGAATAAAAATTAAGAGGGTAGTGCCAATTCATCATTGTTTTTTTTTAAATCTTAGTTAAAAAACATATATTAAAGGAGCAACTAGGAATCATTCCGTTCTTGTAATCCACTAGAAATGAGCAACAGGAAACATTTCTGTTAATTGTGACTCCTTCAATTGAATGGTACTTTATTTGAAAGCACCATGAATTTTAAAGTCTCCTTTAGGTAGAGACTGAGAGTATTTCTCTTGGAATTTTATATGAAATCTTTACTTCAGTTTAAAATTTCTTAGCATGATTTAAATTATGCTAAGGTAATTCTCAGTAGAATTATGTGACACCAGTATAGATTTCATTAATCTATAAAACTACAGATATCGCTGTATATAATATATAAATGTATATAAATGTATATAATATATAATATAAATATATAAATGTATATAATACATAATATAAAGACATTATATTTTTCAAAAGATTACTTTATATTTTTCATGGTCTTACCTCTTGTTAGGCTTTGAAAAGGGATTACTGCACCAGCTGGATGATGAGGGGCTTACTGATGTGTCCGCAGTTTCATATACAGACCTTGTACTCCTGAAGGTAGACAGTAAGAACTAACATTGATGGTGGACAAAACCGAAAATCAGGGTTTTTTTTATAAGCATCATAAACAACATATACCTCAGTGCTCAAGTTTCTTCCTGTTCCTGGAGGTACTTGTTTACTTGCTGAGCAAAGACAAGAAATTGGAAGTTAATATCTGGTGCCTCTCTGTCATTGATTCACCAAAGGCACCCTATACCCCAGGATCTATACTCCAGGGTAGGTCAGATAAGACTGTTCGCATCTAGGACCTCATGGGAAGGGGGGCGTTTCAGTCCGCCCTTCACGCCCTACCGAGGCCCCAGTTGCCCCCCACGAGCGGCTCTCCAGCACGGCCACGACTCCAGAACACAGAAACCAATTTCTTAACTATCTGACTTTCAGTAGAAATACTTCCAAGGTCAATAGGTAAAATAGCAGAAATCCAAAACCAACATTTAATTCTTGAACCCAGCTGTAGAAAGCAAATCACTTCACAATGCTTTTTCAGCATGTCTGATTTGGGGGGGGGGGGTAAACTCTAAATAATAGTGGTGAATCTTTTATTGAAACAATGAATCTAATCAAAGCGGATAGAGTGTTAACTAGAATTCATCTGCCTCACAGGGACGGGGAGGGGTGGGGGGTGGGGTTTTATTGGGGTTCTTCATGGTAAAAAATAAGTATTGGTAAAGGGAAATGTGTTTGATATTTGCATGACTGAGACCTAAGCCTGAAAGCTTTGTAACCTTTCCCACAGTGATTCAATTTAAAAAAAAAAAAAAAAAAAAAAAGACTGTTCGCATGGTTGATTTAAAGAAGGCCAGGGGATGAAACTCAAAAATCATAACAGACTTTAGTAATCCAGATGAAATGAATGTACATGTCTAAAGTGTGTGTTATGTAGCACACATGGCATGACGCAAGACAAGGCCAGATGATACTGGTTTGACTTCATAGGTCGGAACTGAGCACCAGAGAGCATCTTGCTAGGAGTCTAGTCAGTTCTGGCATGGCAGGAGAAGTGAAAGGGACTAGCCATGGGGAGAATTAATTAAACTCTAGGGATAATGAACTTTTGACAGATGACTGTAATAGTCAACCTTAGGTCTGCGGTAAAGTCTTCCAGGTTAGCTCTCTGGTTATTATTGGTTCTTGCCATTTTCCACCAAAACCTATCAGTGACCTAAAAATAACTTTGATCATTATGTTTTCTATAAAGTGATAGATAATTACCATGTCAGAACAAATTAAGACCACTGGGGGGCGGGGGTGGGGGAGGTAACGCTCTTATGGTTAAATTATTTGCAACAAAATTTGCCATTCCCAGTCCAAATTAGGCCAGATGATTCTTTGTGAAATACTCTGACAAATTCTGTCTAATTTAGCAACTTGGTTGATGTCAGTCCTAGTCTATTCCAGTGCTCTAGCAGTATTACTTTCCCAAGATTAGTAAAGTCTTATTTCCTGATGTCAGAAAATCTAATTAAAATTTTTTTTAAAATTGACTCACTCTGAGATAGACCCTTACGAAGATGTTCACGATTGGGTTTTAGTCATGCAGTGTTCCAACACCCATCCCTCCACCTGCGTACGTTTTCCACCACCAGTCTCCCCAACTTCCCTCCCATCACTCTCCCCCATCCCTACCCCACATCAGCCTGCCTCTGTGGCAGGCACTTTTCTTCTCTTTCTGTATCTGTCTCTCCCTCTCTGTCTTTGTTTCTGTCTCTTTCTCCCCTTCCTCCTCTTCTGGGCATTGCGGTTTGCAATACAGATACATACTGAAAGGTTATCATGTATATCCCTTTACCTACTTGTGACGCTCAGTTCTTGTCCGGCGTGATCATTTCCATGTATTATTGCCGTACTGGTCCCTTTTCTACTATCTTACCTACCATCCGCCCTCCACACACTTATGGTCGATTCCAACCATTGACCAGTCCTCCTAGCCCATGTTTTCCCTGGCCATGGATATTAGACTTCTAATATATATGTTAGAATATCATGGTCCTCCCGTTGTTTATTGATTTGCTCGAGCGGGCCCAGTAACGTCTCCATCATGAGACTTGTTGTTACTGTGTTTAGCATATCGAATACATTGCGGGTAGCTTGCCAGGCTCTGCCAAGTGGGTGAGATACTCTCGGTAGCTTGCCGGGCTCTCCGAGAGGGACAAAGGAATCGAACTTGGGTCGGCCATGTTGGCTGCGTGCAAGGCAAATGCCCTACCACTGTCTATTGCTCCTATATATGTATATATATGTGATATACCACAAATGAATGCACTTATTCAATATCTGTCCCTCTTCTGGCTCATTTCAATCAGCATGATACTCTCCATGTCCATCCATTTTTAGGTAAGTTTCCTAACTTCATTTTTCTAACAGCTGCGTAGTATTCCATTGTGTACATAGTGCCATAATTTCTTTATCCATTCGTCCGTTCTTGGGCACTCAGGTTATTTCCAGATTCTGGCTACTGTAAATAGTTCTTCAATGAACATAGGAGTGCAGATGGTGTTTCTGCTGTGTGTTTTTGGGTCCCCAGGATATATTCCCAGAAGTGGTATTGCTGGGTCGAATGGGAACTCAATTTCTAGTTCTTTGAGGGATGTCCTTATTGTTTTCCAAAAAGGCTGGACCAGTCAGCATTCCCACCAGCAGTGAAGGAGAGTCCCGTTCTCCCCATATCCGCACCAGCACTGTCTTATAGTAGCTCCTTTAGTTCTTCTTGCAAAGATGGTTTTATGTCTCTGAAGTTCCCGAGCTTTTTTTTTTAATCTGTGAAGTTATATATCCTTAAAATCTGAATGACTGAGTAAAGTATTCTTGAGAGTGTTTATTTCATTGAGGTTTTTAAATGTATTTCATCATTGTCTGTGGGGCCAGATCTTCTGTAAATAGTAAGCATGCTCCTTTGTAATTCCCTTCATTGATTTTGATCTGCTTTCCATATTCTATTTCTTGGCTATGGTTTCTGGAATTTTGATCAGGATTTGTCTTGGAGTCTTTTTCTGGGTCTCTTTGAGTGGGCACCCTCCAACCTCTTGATCTGGGTGCAAGCACCCTTGACCTCAGCAGACTTCTCAGTGATTTTTTTTGTATAGTAGATAATTTTTAAAAAATATTTATTAGTGAGACACCATAAGGTACAGTTGTAGACTTACAAATTTTTGTGCTTGGGTTTCAATTATACAATGATTATACAATTATACAATTATACAGTTATACCCATCCCTCCACCAGTGCCCATTTCCCACCACCACGGATCCCAGTATCCCTCCCACCCCCCATCCCCCCCATCCCACCCTGCCTCTGTGGCAGGGCATTCTCTTTTGTTCTC